GATGCATCGAACTTATCGTAATTACAGTAATTACAGTAATTGTAATTGGAGTTTTTTTTTTTTTTTTTTCAAGAATTATTTTTTCAATTTAAAGTAATTGAATTAAGTGGATGATGACGACTAACGGTAAAATGTTTCTCATAATATTTTTTCCAGGATCTAACCACACTTTTAAATATAAAAATTTATTAGTTTCGATTAAGTATCTTTGACAAAGTAATTTTATAACGGTTAAAACTTTTAACGAAAATATCAGGGAGCTTTAGATAATTTGGTTATTTCATATAAGATGCTCAGGAGTTTTATGTGAATCATATTAACTTAAAAGAAAATTCGTTTATAAAACGTTCATTAGAAATTTTAAACTATTTCTAAAAATAATTCAACTAATGAAAAACATTTTTTATTTTGTAATGAATGCCACTTTTTTTTTAAATGACTATTTTTAAAAGTTAAATTAATTTATTTTGACTATAAAAAAAATATATATGTCTGCATATACGATTAGTATATTTCAGTCCATATCAGTATATATCAGTATATATTAGTATATATTAGTATATATGCTGTTTAATTTTAAAAAAATCATACATAATAAATATAATAAATAAATATTAAATAAAAATTAAATATACCGTATAATACTGTATAAGATTACAAATAACATTTTTTTAATTACGTATTGTAATTATTTGTTATTGTTTTATTAATTTTTTTTTTTTTTTGGGTCTATCTTTATGCGATAAGATTTACAATTTTTTTAAAACAGTTTTTAACAATTCTCAAACGCTAACGCTAACCATTTTCTAAAATAGTTATCTTAATTCCATTATGCTAATCTGTCCAACGTATGCACACCCTTCCTGAATTTCATGGTACAAGACATTGGCCCACATGCAATGATAATCATACATAAATTATTATAAATTATTATAAATTCTTAAGAAATTATTAGAAATCAAATACATTATTAATAATGTAAATAGCGTATAACGATTAAGAAATACAGAGTAATAATCGCGGGCGTTTGTCTAATAATTTTAGGGGATATGCATTCAAACCAATAAAGTAACAACTAATTGTGAGAATTTAGAAAAGGTAAAAGATATGAACAAGCAAGATCAGTCCATTATTGTTCATTATGTAATGAGTTGTTTGAAAGGTTTCAGAGTTAATGATTGATCTGACATGTTTATATATATCTGGTAAGATATGTTTATTATATGAAAAAATGAAGTTTTTATTATTATTAAAAAAAAAAAAGAATTTTTTATTTTGACTCATTAAGGAATGCAAAGTTAGTAATGTCGCAACTATGAATTACTTAATGAATTGTGTGCACAAAAATATTGACACATCACATGATTCAAAATCTCAACACCCAACATATCGATATTAAATATAATAATATTATTTCATAATTCATTAATTAAAAAAAAACTAAACACGAAAATTTTAAATGTTTTGCGAAAAAATGACTTAAATTAATTTTTTTTCCTGAAAATACATAAGTTTTCAAATTTTGGTGGTATGGAAACAAGTTGCGTGATAAATTATTTTGCTCCAAAATGATTGATATACCAAATGAAAATAGTAGTTAAACAGAGGATTTTAAAAACAAAAAAAAAAAACAAATAAATAATGTAAGGAAGGGTTATATTTATAATCATAAAGATGATAATAATAATAACCAAAAAATTAAATAATATGTAAAATTATATATATATATATAAATAAATATAATGCATGACTAAAAAAAAAAAAAAAACAAAGGGAAAAGTGTACAACTATAGTAATACTAATTAGAATCGTAATATTTTTTTTCATTTTTTTTTTCCTGATTTTCTATTTCTAATATAACATACACGTACACCCCAAAATCCTTTTGATCTCTAAACCATTATAGATATAGACAAGCAAATATTATTTTCCCATTTAACCCAAAAAAATTAAATACAACGTAAGGATATATATACACCTATCAAAGCCAATTCCGAATTCTAGATCGTAGAATATAAACAAATGGAGGCGGAATTTTCCAATTTAAGATGTGTTGATGACGTTGGTTGTTGATACTGTATTTACAGCTTATCTTCTTCCATTTTACTCATTCGATAATTCATGTTTAATTGGCTAAGATTTTTTCCTAATTCGGTTGTTGGAGTCGTGATATTTTTATTAGCTGATAATGGTTTTGAATTGTGTTCCGATTTGTCGCTCTTCATTTGTGGTGAATGATTATGATCCATGGAGCCATCTGGTCGTGTTGGACGTCCGTTCATATTATGTTGTTCACTGTCAGAATGATAACCGCCGTGGTGAGTAGATGCGTTATTTGCAGGATGACTACCGTTGTACATATGGAATCCCTCAACATACTCTTGTGAATGATAAGCGGGCGAGGTTAGTGGATGATCTGGAATTTCAGAAGAAGGAGGGATCTCGATCTTCATAAATGGTTTGCTACCTTGTGTAGAATTTGAACCGGCTACTGTCGTTGGAATTTGACGAGATTCGAAATTAGAAAACGCGGAGTGTGGTCCAGAAGTTGCAGTAACTAATAATAACATCAAAAAGTAAAAGGTTAATTAATTAATTAATTAATTAATGATATACTTATGAAATTAGAATAAATTATGATGTGATTGCGTAAATCAAAATTTTAAGTAATATTTTAAACTATTGATACGATATTTACCTCCGTCTATATGCATTTCATGCAATTTTTGATCATGAGAACTATTAACAATAGTTGGATCCATATTTGCTGCATTACTATACATTTCCGGATTAGGGTTATCACCATCTGTAACACCTTGTACCATATATTGTTGATGAGGATGTTGAGGATGAAATTGAGGCGTTTGACCATTTGAACCCATCATCAGTAAAGTATCATTCCTTATTGGCCCCCCGTTCACTGGGGGGTAGCCTGAAAAGGGCTGGTATTGATTATAAGGACCTGGAAAAGGAGCACTATTAAAATCCGGTGGCATCATAGGACCATTTGGACCTTGAGGATGAGGGAAACCCATGTGACGATCATTAGGGAAAGTTGGGTTTATTCCCATTGGATTATAACGATCGTGATTATCAGCATAATGACCAGGACTACGACCACGTACGACCAAAGGTGCAGAAGTTGAAGTAGCAACTCGGAATTCACCATTTTCAGTTTGAGCGTAAAGATCAACCATTACTACGTAATATTGTTGTGCGGCGCGACGTTTTCCATTATTAGCAGTAGCAGTCTTGAATTGAATACGCTCAAACGTTACAATATTTGAGTTAGAACCAACAGAACTAAGGCTCAAGTTTCCACCGGCACGAATTGGTTTTGGAACGGGAACCATTTGAGGACCTTTGTCACGTTTTGGAGTGTGCTGTACAAGCTCAATTTTCTTGTCGCTATTAGAAACACGGGCAGTGATTCCCAATAAGAATTGATTAATAGCATGGAATTGACCATCAACTTCAATTAAGCATGGTATGTCAGCCTCATTAATTGTGTGTGAAGCACCAGTGATGGAGAATGCACTGCTTATTTGAAAGTAATTCCGTCGGTAACACGTCCAATCGTTATCAGCCAAGAAGAAACCACGGTCTACTTTTGAATTTATACGAAGTTTATAACTAACAGAATAATAAATATGTGATATGTAAGTGTATACAAGTTTAAATGTTTAAAGTGTTTCAAGTATATACATATATATATGTGTATACATATATATAATATATATATATTTGTTTTTATATTTATTTTATTTATTTCAATTATTTGATACACACCTTAAAGACCTATCCATGCTATAAATGTTATAATGTTGTTGAGTTGGTGAGAAGAATGGGCCAGCATCTTGTGCGAAACCTAACACATCAGTCCTACGTTTCCTAGCAGCACCAGTTTGGAAAGGTGTAGCATGAAACGTGGTTGTGAAAGCAGGTCGATTATCCAAGACTTTACGATCTGAAGCAGGATTTGATGAATTATTGTTTGCATTATTTGTTGGGGAATTGGCTTGTCGAGTCGCTGAAGGATTTTGTGTAGGCATTGGTACAAAACTACGAATATAATACATCAACACATTAACTGGTTAGCGAATAGTTCAATGACTGATGATAAGTGGGATGATAAGTAGGATGATAAGTGTTATCAAGACTTATCATGAGAATTATTAAAAGAATTATCAAGAGAACTATCAAGATTATTAATACTAATGTACAAGATATTCATTCAACATGAAAGTAATAAGCGGGAAGTAAAGGAAGAAACTATGTGTAAGGTGACACGCGGTGGGAAGAAACATCAACTTGCATAACCAAACCAGTTTGTACCAAGGTACAAAATGAAACGCGACGTATAAGACGAATTTTTTCTATAATAAACGTGTTCCAACTTACATTTGTTGATGTGTAGCTTGACTGTCATATGGAAAAGGTTGCATAAAGTTTTCCGTAGGCATACTGTTCATTTGTGGAGACATTACGGGATGTGGATGGTGAGGTGAGGGTGGAACTTGAGATTGCTGTTGAATAGACCACTTGTCCTCAGTAATATTCATAGTATTGTAAAGTAGTTGCGTAGAATATGCTTGTATACAACGTTATACTGGTTTATTGATAATACTTGTAATTGAGATGAGCGGAAAGTATCCCCAGAGCTGGTTTTACACGAATATTGACGAATATTTGACGAATATTTGACGAATATTTAACAAATATTGGTTGGACAAAAAAATTTCAAAGAAAAAAAAAAAAATGAATTCAATTATAAATCAATTTTTTAGATACTGTAATTCAAAAAAAAAAAAAAAAAAAAAAGCATACATATATATTCTCGAGAAAATCGGCTCACAGATTAATTAATTATTTTTCGTTTGAATTATTATTTTACTCTAATAAAAGAAGATAGAATAGTTTGTACTTGGATCCCTTGGCGAACAGAAAAAAGTGGTGAAATGGACAATACTTACTTTGTAGGTGCACAGTTGACCTTTTTTGCTCAAGAACTCTGGAGAGATGTTTTGACAAAAAAAAAAAAAAAAAAAAGTCCGAGCGTAATCTCAGACTATATATTATTATTGTAAAGGTAAAAGAGTAACCAATTAAAATGGAAGAAAAATCTATACAATACAGATATATATATTTTTTTTTAATAAATTCGAAAGTTACCAGTTAAGGTTTTAATTGGTCACGCAGGAAATCCCTTAATTTCTCAAATCAAGTTCCGACATCCGAACAAATATTGCATAGATGCACAATATATACAATATATACAATATATAAAAAAAAAAGACTGACGATTAATGCTTTGAATGGTAGAATGCATATCTGCGTGACCAACTGCACTACAAAAGAAAACCTTCTTTTGATTTAATTAAAAACGGTAAAATATTGGAGCCTGTACAAAATGCATGCAAACTATATGTATAAAAAGTGTAGAAAATTATAGCATCATATTAGTTGTGGAACGATTTGTGGTTGTTTATTTAACTTATTCAACGAAACATTCATTAATTTCTGCCGTTATACAAGAGGAAAGTAATACAAAAACATAGAGATGCAATATGCACTTTACAAAGTATAAATATTATTCTATTTATATTAACTCTAATATAATCTTCCTCTATTTATTCATAATTCGTAATAGTCATAATAAATGCGCACTATATTAGATACCTATGTAACTAAATGTGCTGCTCATTCCTATGCACCAAATTTAGTCAGGCGCAGGTGGTATGAAAATCGAATAATCTTTTAAACTATATACACTTTAGAATGCCACTTATTGGTTTCTTTTTAGATGAGTGCGAGAAAATTTTTTTTTTTTTGAATTAGTGACTAAAAAATTGGGCTGTTTAAAATAATCCAATTTTAGATTATCATTAAGCAAGATTCAGCCGAAATTCATCACTTTTTGTGGTAAGTGACAATTAAAAAAATATGATAAACATTTCCAAATTATACTAAATGACACTAAAGATCACCGGGTGCATGATATTCATTGCTAAAATGCAACTTTTAGTCTTTTATACATTACCGCATAAATAATTAATTAGACCTTCAAAATATTATACAATAATATGAATACGTATTAATTCACAAATATATATTTACAAATATGTTGTTGTTTCAAATCTCGAAACACACAAAGATGTTTTCCAAAAAAAATATGCTCGACGCTTTCTTTATACGTACTTGGTACGTACTTGGATGTGTACTTACGTACATACAAAAAGTCAAGTCAACTTTGTGAACACGTGGTTCCGGGATGGCTACAAGATCTCCGGCAATATCGAGTGGATCGTGCTGGTGCAGATTTGCACAAGAATTGTGTAAGAAACCAAATTACGAATTTAAAATTTTACTTAATTTAGTCCAAAGGGTTACAAGGATTGTGTTAGATGTCAAGCAGAAAGGGCAGGTTTCAATTTCTCAAGAAGAAAAAAAAACCTATTTTTAGAGAACTTAAATTTATTTAGTTAGTGAAACGATCGATCAAGTTGCTAAGTAGAATAAGTAGAAGAGATCAAACCTAACGACATAAAGAGCATTGTTAACGCATTATTAACGCATTCTTGACGCATTCTTGACGCATTCTTGACGCATTCTTAACATATTATAACATCTTATAACATTTTATAACATATTATTAACGAATGCTTCTTAAATTCTCTCGCATACACTTAGTATCTATTCCTTTTATTGGCATGTGATCACCATCACGCGCGGTAACATTGCCGCGACGAACAGACGAATGTGAACATAAGCGAATGCAGGGATTAATCTCGTAATAAAAATGGTTGAGCAATTTTAATAAATTTCTCATTAATTCATTCTCTGAGTCATTGTCAATAATGATTGGTTACAAAAATCGATCTTGTGTCGTGATGCATATATACTGAGATTCATGAAAATTGTGCGCCAACTTTCAATGAAGGTAACAGTACACAACCATTGTTAATGATTTGACGGCTCGGCAGGGGTTTAAACTGCTTGGTGCCCGGATGTGCAGTCACAAAATTAAAGTGTGGGGATTTGTGTTTCTTGAATTTGTTTTTTTTTTATTTCACTTTCCCTTATTCATATTATTTTCCTTTATTCAAAATTTATTTCCCCTTATTCAAATTATTTAAAAAAATTCTTGCCTTTTTTCTTTTTCTTTTTTTCTATAATGCTAGCAAATAAAATCTTCCTAAAGATACCTTTTGTTTTCTTGTTTCGTCCACGAGTACATGGTACAGTTGATGTCGACAATATAATTATTATATATATGCTGTACGCCCACACGACGCTGCACATGAAACTTGATAATGACTGTCATTTGCCTATTATGGTGGTAATTAAGAATTATAGTTTAAAAATTGTTAGACAAAATTCTCATTTAGTTCAAATTAAATTCCAAATTCTTCGATAAACGATTTTAATAAGTGATAAGGATGATGATTGATAAAATGTAGTCTTAATCTCAAATCGACGAATCAAGATCGATTATTATATAGAAGCAAATATAGAAAAGAAAAAAAGAAGCGCCAGTCCATTAAGAGAGAATAAATCAAAATAAATCATATCATTTCTTTTTCCGTCTTTGCAATACAAACATTCATCAATCCAAATTCTGTTGTAAAATCTAGTCGATCCACCTCTTTGAGCTGTTCATTATTAGGTTGGCTGATATGTCGTAACACGAAAATATGAATTTTAATTTTATTTGCTAATAATCCTAATGTTTTAATATTTTAGTCCATCTTTAAATGTTCAATTGAAAATCTAATATTCATTTGAATTTAAATCCCCCCATTCCAATGGCGATAAAGTTCTTGTTTTTTTTTTTAGTTTTCCATTCTAACAAACTAAATCATTGATAATAACGAATTTTATTATTATTATTATTATTTACAAATAACAATACTTCTTTTAAATCCTTGTGTCCTCATATTATTAAATGTTTTGTTGTTTATTTGTGCCTTTACGATAAATTTTTATAAATTTCATTTACTTGCTTTTACTTATTTAATAGGCTGACAAAAATTTTTAATCTTCAAAATTCCGTGCTATATTAGCATAATATTAAATTTTAAGTTTTTTTTTAACTTTATGGCCATACAAAGTTATTTAATTGCTTTCTTATTTTAAAAGTTGACTTGCAGACTTGCAAACCAGACCTTTACGTTTTTTTGTTTTTTTTTTTTTTTTTTTTTAAAAAAAAAAAAAAATCCTCCCAGGTTTTGTTTTTTTTTTTAAAAAAAAAAAAAAAATCCGTCCGATTTTTTTTTTTAAATAATAAAAGCAGACTCACCCTGGTTAGAAAACGTTAGAGAACAAACCGGTTAACTTAGATGGACTAAAGCTAGCTTTTAAATTTTTATTTCTTTTTACGTATGCTCGTACGTATTTACAATATATAGTGATATACAGATATACACTCTTAGACCAAAAAATAACCTAGAATAATAATCGGATTAAATCAGAGTTGGCACAGACCGGTCAATGGTCAAGCTTGACCAGACCAGTTTGACCAATTTGACTAGTTGGTCAAAGGGTTTAGTGTTGGTCAAATTGGTCAAAGGGTATTTAAATATATATAGTATATATATGCATATATA